ATATATATATATATATATGTGTGTGTGTGTGTATGTGTGTGTGTGTGTGTGTGTGTGTATTGTTTTATATTATAAGCAGAACGATGTTATACATGTTTTCACAAATTTGAATAAAACAGTAAACGAGAACGTTAAGACAAATGCTGCGATATTGAATGTTATCCAGGATGTACAACACATACATTTGATTAAGAAACGTTACACTAACTTTATGAATGGTTGCAGATATGCACATTTGCAGATTTACACAGTAAATACGGATGTGATCGAAATAGAGAAGTCCTTGGAGTCGATTATGTTTCTCGTCAATTTGTAACAATTATAAAAGTGAGCATATTTACTAGAATATTTATACTGTTATTGGCCAACTAAAGTATATTCGCTCACTTTTGAACTTTGCACCGAAGTGCCGAGAATTGATCACTAGTGTAATTGGAAAACGTACTATTGCCCAGTAAGCAAATTGAGCGCAGACTACGCGCAGATTGGCAGCAAATTTGATCAAAAACCCACAGCAAAACCATAGCCATCTGTGTCTACATTAGGCTACGGTTTTGGCGACAGATCTTGCTGTCGGGCAATTGGTGCCAAATTTGCAGCAAAAACCGCGTAAAGCTTGCAGCGCAGCAAGGTTTGCGCGGTTTCTGCCGTCAAGTCGCTACAAGCTCTGCGCGGTTTTTGCTGCAAATCTGCAGCAATTATCCGACAACAAGCTCTACCGCATATCTGGCGGCAATTTGGCAGCAAGATTTGATATAACAGATCCTGCATCAAGTTTGTTATCTATTTGCTCTCAAAAGTTGATAGCAAGCTCTGCTAGAAATCTGTTCGCGCAGGTTTGGCTATCTGGGTGTGTAATGTAATAATACAACGGGTGAAAATAATGAGATATGAACAAAACACAATTTAATAATAGTAAAATGTATATTTGTACATGAACGTTTAATTTTATCATATATAGAAATATATATTTGAAACTATTACAAATTTTTCATATTTTCTTTGTTTACAAATAAATTATAAATTTTCCGTCCTTTTTTGTTAATCAAATTATTTGCAACAATTCGTTTATTGAGTGTTCGTAATTGAATATACGTTCGAGTGCGAACAAGACATGCAATTACCTCTTTCGGGAAATTGTTATTTAATTGCGAACAGACAATATCGGTTACTTTATCAAATATTTTGTCTTCTTGACAGAAGGCTTCTCTATGAAAGTTTATAAATAATTTATTCATTATTTTCGCTGCACGAATGAACTAGTGCAATAAGTTAGAGTGAGACAAATATATTTTCTTTTACTCTAACTTATTGCATTTTGGATAGTCTCTGATTAGTCGAAATGAGGACGACTGCACATCCATGGGAACGGTACACCTTATATTCTTACCAATCAGATTCACGAATTTTACAACAGTTGCAAAGCAGGTTTCTCTGCTGAATGCAGTCTATAGGCCTGTTCTTTGTAGTTGCACTGCTGAACTGGTGCAATATATTGAAGTGAGACAAATATACGTTTTCTCACTCTAACTTATTGCACTAGTTCAGCAGTGCAGCTATAAAGAACAGGCCTATTGTATGGAAGTACACTGCGAAAGTGCGCCTGATCGACGTAGTTAGGCGCATTTTGGTTAGATGGCGTATCTAAGATGTGCCAAGCTCTGGCAGTTCTCAGACTTCTCTCTGGTAAAATCTAAAATAAATAAAAGAATGGAGAAGAAGACATTAAAGAAAATATAATATAACTCAAAAAAGTTATCCTTATTGTTTATGTCAAATTAAAAATATAAGGATATCAGAGCAAATTTATATTATCTCGTTAGTTTAGTCGTACCACTCATACACACATTACACAAGCGATTTAAGTTAGGTTTTACTTCAAAGATAAATATTTCGTAAATGTATTTTGCATTTCTGCATGTAAAATGAGTGATACTAAAGTTACCATAAAAAGAGGAACAACTATTTTTACTAGCAAGCCATTTGCTTATGTTCTTACCTCGAAATACAATACTATACGTTGTGACAATTGTCTGAAAAGGTATAAAGTAAGGAAATGATTAAGATAGTGAAATTTTTGTGGTCTAATCACTTTAAGTTATTAAGTTAAATTATAAAAAATAATGCCTTAATTTACAAATTTTATTTTATAATAAATTATTCAATCAAGTTATTTTTACTTTATTCAATCAACAAAAAATATTAATAAAATCATGAAAATTGTCATTTGCAAATATATTGTCTATCTACTAATTATTTTATTTCATGAAATGAATTTATTACAGTGGCAAGTTGTCAAAATGTTCTGGATGTCAATATGTATATTACTGTGACCGTAATTGTCAGAAAGAATCTTGGCTAATACACAAAACAGAATGTACAAATTTGAAAAAAATATCGCCAAGAGTAGTACCAGATGCAGCACGGCTCATGGCACGTATAATTATCAAACTCAATCAAGGTGGGGCTGATGAAGTAAGTTATTACAGTAAAACAAACTTTAGAAAATTCAAGGATTTAATGTCCCGTAAGTAAGCTTTTTTAAGGTAAGGTATTTTTTAAATTTATATCTCTCTTTACATATTTTTTTATAAAACAATTCTTTAGAATATTTAAAACATTCTTTAGAATATTTTTATAATGAAAAACTATTCAAGGAAAACATATAAGATTATAATTATCTTGTATATCTGGTTTATAGATTATTCAGATATAAAGAAAGACACAAAACGAATGGAGCATTTCACTTCATTGTGTGGAGTTTTACTTGAATTCCTTGGTGAAACATTGATGCCCAATACTGCAGAGTTGATAGGCATTTATGGTAGAATATGTATCAATTCCTTCAATATATTAGATCTTAACATGAACAGTATCGGAGTTGGTATTTATTTGGGAGCATCCATGATAGATCACAGTTGCAAACCAAATGCAGTTGTTGTTTTTGAAGGAACTACTATTATTGTCAGAACATTAGTAGATCTTCCTTTTCTGGATTGGTCACAGGCAGGTATTAACAAGATCAATAAAGAAATACAAAGCTGAATAATCAAGAAAGTTTATTTTATTAATGAACTTCATGAGTATTTTTAAATTTTATATAATTTGTTATATCTTTACAACTATTACTATTTATAACTGAAAGAGCTGTTAACTAATTAACACTTTATCAATAGATAAATATGAAAAAGTGCTCCTGTAGCGGAGTGCCCCTGCGTCTGTAGTGGATTTAAATATCTTCATGACTAAATATAAATCAATTAAAGATAACATATTTATAAGTCTTTACATTTTTTAAAACGTTAATAACTTTCTTATATAGTGTTTGTATACGCAACACAATATTATACATAATATTATCTAAAATACATTCATGCAAACTTATTTTGTGTACAGATGAAGATATCATATGTTGATTTATTAAATTCCAATAAAGATAGAAGAGAAGAACTACACAATTTGTACTACTTTTGGTGTAACTGTGAAAAATGTAAACAAGCAGATTCTATAGCTGAGGCAGCTACATGTCCAAATTCGTCATGTGCTTCTCCATGCTTGATCGAAGATGACAAATGTGAAAAATGTAGCGTAAAACTATCAGAGGACTTCAAGAAGTCTTTTCGTGAAGTTACAGATTTTACTACCCATCATTTAGAAAAAATGAAAACAATGGCTTGTATCCTTACAAATATGAAAAAATTCTTATGAAAATTCTAACACAACAGACATAGTGTTCCATTTTACATATTTCATTTCTGTATTTATCCTTATTAATAATAATAGATTTGGACGTTAGTAAAATATGCCTGAAAAAACAAAATGGCATATTGCACAGTCTCAATATGCAATACGTGCGCACATTGGATACGGCTTTTATCGCTGCTGTGAATCTGGAGTATTGGGAAGATGCAGAATTGTACAGTAAAGAGCTTGTATCAGGATATTTGTGAGTGATAAGCAATTCCCTTTTCTCAAAACATTTAATATTCTTAAACGCGTAGAGAAAAATATTCTTAAATGCATAATATATATATATATATATATATATATATATATATATATATATATATATATATATATATATATATATATA